GGTCGCTCCTTAAGGAAGTGCTGCGGAACTTCAGTGTTGAGAAGTTCAATGGCAACGGATACGACGACTGGTCATGGAAGATGCAGCTCTATATCAGGCAAATCGGGCTTCTCAAACTCATGAAAAGAATGGAGAAGCGACCATCGGACGCAAGCCTGCAAGCTGACTGGGATGAATGATCATCTGTGGGATACTACCTCCTGTCCCAGAGCCTGGAGCAAAAACAATGGCAGCACATAATGCACATGCTGTCGGAAGAAGACTGTAGACCTCGAGCCTGGACTGTGCTCAAGGGCCTACACGCGCCAACGTCCGTTGGGGCTACTCTGATGTTGGAACGGGAATTGTCGTCCTTACGACTAAGTGAGGGGGAGCCGATCCAAGGTGTCATCGACAAGATGCGGGAAATCTATGCCAAGCTTACTGCTGCAGGGGTGTCATATCCAGAGCAAACCAAGTGTCTCAAGATGTTGTCGCTGCTGCCTGAGTCCTGGCTACCGTTTACCAGCAGCCTGAGCTTGCCACAAAACTATAGCTTATGGACCATGGAATGGGTGCGATCTAAGATTCTTGAAGAGGACTTTCGGCGTCGTGAGTTAAGGGGCGGGGATGAAGGGAGCAGCGGCTATGCAATGCAAGGCAGCAAAAGGGGAAGGGGCCGAGGAAGGCCCTGGCTTGGAAGAGGAACCCGTAATGATGACTATCGGCAGGAGCAACCAGGAAGCTCGTATGCTCGTGGTGGAGGAGCAAATCGAGGAGGACATGGGGCCAATGGGGGCAATACAAGAATGCTATGACATTGCCGGTATTGCAAGAAGATCGGGCATCCGTGGTTCAAGTGCAACACTAAGCCGGAGTGGTGGACTCCCACGAATCAGTCGAATGATGGAAGGGGAGCAGGAGCCATGAACAACGACTTTGAAGACTATGCGGATGAAGAAGAGTACAACGAGCGATCGGCAGGACATTTTTTTCATGTGGAGGGGGAAGAAAATGAAAGTGGGGCCTCAGCGAAAGTGGGAGCTGAGCTTCACCCATTAAGCGAATGGATACTAGACACGGGAGCATTGTGGACAATGACTCCGAGATCTGATCTATTGGACAAAGTTGGTGCAGCACCAATTTTGTAAGTTCGGTCAGCATCAGGACACGCATTGCAAGTGCAAGGAGCAGGCCGAGCACTGTTCAAGGGAGCAGACGGTAATCGTGTCATACAAGAGAGCATGCTACTGGTCCCGGATTTAATGGCGAATCTGATCTCGCTCAGGAGGCTTGGTAAGGTCGGAGTCAGCACCAACACGAATGGATCAAAAAGCTTTAAGGGGAAGTTAGAAAACCGAGTTCTATGGGATCTGCGCGAAGACAAGGATGTCTTCAGGTCCATGTGGCAACTATCGGTGGTACCATGTGAAAAGGATGAGATCAGAGGCCTAGGGGAGAACACCGCTCTAAGTGTGTCAGATGAACGGGTGTCAGCAAGGAGCGGAGAAACAGATTGGGTGACTGCTCACAGGTGCCTCGGACACGTTAACATGACGATATTGCAGCAGTTGGTCAAAGAGGAAGCAATAAATGGATTGAAGCTGAGCGGCACCGCCCCGCAACATACGTGCAAAACATGCTTGGTGAGCAAGTTCACCAGATTCCCTTTCTCCTCGGTCTCCAAGCGCGGTAAAAAGCCGTTGGAACTAGTGCACATGGACCTCGTCGGACCACTGCAGTTCGAGGGGATGGGGGAGAGCGATATTTTCTTACGATCATCGACGGCTGCAGCAGAATCATGTGGGCCTACCCCTTGAGGCAAAAGAGCGATGCAGCAGCGGTGATTCAGGATGAATGGATTCCTACCGCAGAAACATAATCTGAATGTCGGGTGAAGCGGATTTGCACTGATCGTGGTGGAGAATTCACGGGAGACAAGCTGGAGAATTGTGTCAGAATGTTATTCTCTAGCCTGTAGTGGGGTGCTCTATAGCGAGTACAACCCTTCTAGGGTTTGCTATATGTATCCTCATTGCTGCTAGTGAAACCCCCTCTTCTCTCATTTTCACATTCTTGCTCAACTCTTCTCATGGTATCAGAGCAGGTTCCCTCGTGGGAACTGTGCCTAGGGCCCACCACATCAACTTTTTTTTCCTACCCGGAGTGCGCTCCTCGAGTCGCGCTCCCCTCTCTGCCCTCGTCGCCCTCCCTCGCGGCCCCGCTGCCCTCAGTTGTGGCCCCGCCGCCCTCACTTGCGGCCCGTCGCCGCCCTCATTTGCGGCCCCGTCGCCGCCCTCACCTGCGGCCCGTCGCCGCCCTCCCTTGCGGCCCCGTCGCCCTCGCTTACGGCCCCGTCGCCGCCCTCACCTGCGGCCCGTCGCCGCCCTCACCTGCGACGTCGCCGCCCTCCCTTGCGGCCCCGCCGCCCTCGCTTACGGCCCCGTCGCCGCCCTTAGCTGCGGCCCCGTCGCCACCCTCACCTGCGGCCCGTCGCCGCCCTTCCCTGCGGCCCCGCCGCCCTACCCTCGCCGCCGCCCGCCCCGGCCTCGGCACGGCCCTTCCTCGACCCTGCCCCGGCCCCGCCCCGGCCATGCCCCGTCGCCAGCCGCGGCGCACCGGGGGCACGTGCACCGCCCACCCCCCTTTTCCCGTCGCCTGTCGAGGCGACCTGAGGGGCCATCTGGGGGCGGGGGGCGAGCGTCGCCCCTTCTGCCGCCTACTTTGGCGCCCTGGGAGGCCGCGCGTCATCTCCCCCCCCCCCCCCGTAACCTCCCTACTCGCCATCCCGCCCTGCCCTGTGTTAGGGTCTGGGGGTGGCGATTGGGGGGTGGCGGATGTGTGGTCTCCCCTGCTCCTCCTCCTCCTCCTTCGTCTCCCACTGCTGCAGCTGTCGCTGAGGGGGGTGGATCTGTGGGAGCCTGGGTTTTAGGGTTTATGGGGGGTGCTGTGGGAGTGGAACTAGGGTTTTGAGGGAGGTGGATGTGTGCGAGTCTGGGTTTAGGGTTTAAGAGGGTGCTGTGGGTGTAGGGCTAGGGTTTGAGCAGGGGGTGTGTGAGAGGGGTGTTGGGCAGCTGGGGGAGGTTGAGTGGAGGCAGCAGTCTTGTCGTCAGCAGCAGCAGCAGTCCGGAGGCTACAATCTCCGGTAGTCGCCAGTCGCCCGTGGGTCCGTTGCTCGTCTGCCGCTACTATTAGCCGCGGGGCCAGTTACTCCAGTAGTCCGGAGCGCTGTTCCGGTAGCCACTGAGCCAGCAGCTCGTCTGTGTGTCTGCAGCGTCAGCAGTCGCCTCCCATCTTCTCTCCCCCACAGTCTCTCCTCCTCCTCACTTGCCCTCTGTGATTAGCTCTAGCCTTACTTACCTATTGTGAACTCTAGCTCTATGCCTGCTTCCTCGTTGTGCTGATTACACCCCACTTTGGCTATGGGGGTGTGTCAGAATGTTATTCTCTAGCCTGTAGTGGGGTGCTCTATAGCGAGTACAACCCTTCTAGGGTTTGCTATATGTATCCTCATTGCTGCTAGTGAAACCCCCTCTTCTCTCATTTTCACATTCTTGCTCAACTCTTCTCAAATTGGCTGAAGAAGAGGGGAATCATAAAGGAAAAGACCACAGTTTATTCGCCACTGTCTAACAGGGTAGCTGGGCGAGCAAACAGAACGATTCTCGAGACAACCCGAGCACTACTGATCGAGTCCGGTCTCGGAAAATCAAAGTAGATGCATGCCGTAAGGCATGCAACGGTGGCATGTCGCGCTGGGGTGTGTCGTGCCGTGGTCGTCGTCTCCGTCATGGCGGACGACGCCATCACTTGCGGCGCTCACGGGTTGCCCCACACTTCCGTGTTGCGATGTCTGTGGTGCGGGCTGAATCGGAGTGCCAAGTGCTTGGGATTGTGCTCATGCGAGGTCATTTTGCAGGGACGTGCGTTCTGCCGTCAGCGCCGCGATTTCTTCAGAGCTTTCGTGGATTTGCCGCAGCAGTTCGTTCTGTGAAGAATGAATATTCTGACACGTTCAAGTGCTCCTGCGTGAGAGTCGCGACATCGATATGCTTAGCCATTACGGGGGACGTCAGCTCGGCTTAGTCTAGGCGCAGTCGTGGCTGCACGCGTTTACGTGAGAACGCGAGGACAGCGGCTCTTAGGGGCTAAGGTGCGTGAGTCCCTTCGAGTGAAAAATCACAAGTTTATTTCCTGGGGTGCGGAGATGCACGGTCCGAAAAGAAAGAGGATCTGAATACCAAGTGTTACGGGTGCAATGAATCGAAGTAGCGAGAATTGCACTAAGGTGTCAAACCAGTACAAAATGTGAGCGAAGGCATGAGCGAACATTTATACGCGAAACATGCAAACGGTAACACGGTGCATGCGAGCTAGCTAGTGCTATGCTAGAGGCGAGGTTCGGGCTAGTTACGAAGCGTAGGCCGATACGGTCAGGCCAGCAGTGCGAGGTTTGGTGAAACAGTGCGCGTGAAGTCGGCGAAGCCCCGTTAGCAGTAACGGGCGAACAACGGCTGCTGCTGTACGCGATGTTGCAGGGCGCGCTAAGGAATATTGAGAAAATTCCTTACACCAAGCTGTAACTGACGGTAGTATAAACGAATTAAAATGTAGAAATTAAGCAACCATTTTCCTACATTGATGAAATATCTGGTTGCAACATGTATTCTTGGAAGATGCAGCACTCACTATGGCTATCTTTCTAATATATAACATTGTTTGTCTTTTTTTCATTGCTTTTTTCTTGCGCTGGGATGTGAAATTCCCAGTTGCTGTCATTCACAGCAGCCACCTCTCAACTCAACACCCAGCGCCTTCTCCCTCCACCCGCAACCTTTCCCTCCCCCACAGCGTCGTCTAACGTTTCACTCTTTTTTCCCCAAGATCCGCATGCAATGTCGTTGCGCACCTTCCAACGCTCATCTCCTTCATCCTAATTCCGTACGCAGCGGCTGTTTCGCGTTTCTTATTTACTCCAAAGGGCAGGTTTCGTGCTCCTCCTCGTGCCGCCTTGAAGCAGAATGCTTAGCGGCGGTGCTTCGGACGGGGAAGACGACGAGTGGGAGGCTTGGGACGGCCTTCCCGAACCTCTCGCCGCGACGCGCGGTGAATCCGCAGGGGTATTAAGAACGGAAAAAAAAGGGTGGGACCATGCGGCTTGTGTCGTAGACGAGGAGGAATGGGAGGATTACGAGTGGGAAGAACGGGAGGAGCGGGAGGAGCGGGAGGATCGGGAGGATTGGGAGAGAGATGCGAAGATCGTGCACGGCAAGGCATGGGAGCGTATGGAGGAAAGATCGCTTGACTCTTACGAAAAATCTCGAAGAAAGGGGAAGGAGTTGGCTGATTGCGAGGAGGCTGCGGGGGGAAAGGAGAACGCGGAAACGTCTGGGGGAGAATTAGGCGGGAAAGGCGGGATAGAAGCGGGTGGGAGCGGCGGAGGGGGAGCGGGAGGGGGAGGGGGTGAAGAAGGGGGATGGGATGGTCAAGTAAGCGTCACGATGGATGGGGGGTTGGGGGAGGAGGGGTTAAGAGCGGTGGGAGGGAAGCGAGGGAAGGGGGCGGCGAAGAGAGTGCGACGCGCCACGGCAGAAGACAAGGTGAGAGGAATATTTAGTCGAGTCAAAGATAAGGTGAGCCATGGCTGCTACAGGTGGCATGTCCTGTAAACGCTTCTTCAAAAGGTATGTATAGTTTCTCCCGGACCCATGCAATTATATTTCCATTTCTACAGAAAACTCGAATCACAAGTTATCTTGTGTATGCCATGCCGAGTGGTGAGCGCGCCAGCACATCTTTTCTAAGACGAGCTGTTTCTGTACAGGCCCGTATTGAGTTGAGTGTATCCTCCTTTCTCCTGTAGCCTTTACATCGTTTTTTATGTATCTAAACCCCCTATCTCCACATTTCCCCCCCTATCCCCACCCCCCTTATCCCCACCCCCCCTATCCCCACCCCCCCTATCCCCACACCACCTATCCCCACCCACATGTCCCCGCCTATCCGCACCTATCCCCCCCTTTCCCCCTTCTCTGCCGTGCAGGAGTGGTGTCAGTCAGTGCATCGCGTGCACCTGCTCTGCCTGCTCGCCCGCATTGACCTTTGAGTGGGCTCAAAAGGCATCCCCCTCTCCCTCTTCTCGTCCGTGCAGGAGTGGTGTCAGTCAGTGCATCGCGTGCACCTGCTCTGCCTGCTCGCCGGCATTGACCTTTGAGTGGGCTCAAAAGGCATCCCCCTCTCCCTCTTCTCGTCCGTGCAGGAGTGGTGTCAGTCAGTGCATCGCGTGCACCTGCTCTGCCTGCTCGCCGGCATTGACCTTTGAGTGGGCTCAAAAGGCATCCCCCTCTCCCTCTTCTCGTCCGTGCAGGAGTGGTGTCAGTCAGTGCATCGCGTGCACCTGCTCTGCCTGCTCGCCCGTGCTCTAGCGCTCGACAGTGCCGCGGATGACGCGCTCCTGCAGGTGGGACGGGGATAGGAGTTTGTTTATGCGAAAGGGCTTTAACTGCTGTAGGTGGGCTGTCATGCAAGCGTGCCATGCATGCATGAGATGTGTGAGTGTGTGAGCGTACTGCATGAGTGCTTGTGCGTGTGTGCGCTCACTGCATGAGTGCAGCCTGGTTGTAGTGTGGCCGTTGGTGGCAAGTCAAGGAATATACAGTGCTACCCAGTGCCTTGGTTTCCTGATGTCTTGGTTTTTCTATGTCTTGACGTCTTGGATGTTCTCTATATCTTGACGTCTTGGATGTTCCGCTCTGGCTTACCACCTCTCTCTCCAACCGTATCCTCAATCTCCTTTCCCCTCCCACTACCCCGCACCCCCCCACAATCCGCATGCAGGCGGCCATGCTATCGCTAGCCCCACGACTCCTATTGGAGGAGGCACAGGAAGCAGCAGCATCGCACCAGGCTCCCTCCCTGCACCTGCTGCAGCAACTCACATCCTGGGTCCGTCCGTCTGTCCAGTGACCCTCGGTCTGTCGGTCCTTCTGTCCATCTGTCCCTCTATCCGTCTCTCGGCCTGTCCGCTTGTCTGTCCGTCCTGTCCGTCTGTCCATCTGTCTTTGCTCTTTTCATTGTGCCTGCCTCTCTCCATTGGCCACTCCATCTTGTTCGCCATGTCCTACAAGGTCGAATTTCCTGACTCTGTCCGTCAACCATCATACCTTCCATTAAAACTGTTGCTTTACTCACCTCACCCTAAACCCACTTTTTAAGTCAACCCAAGAATGCGTGTCCAATCATGTCACAGGAAACACACTCACCTTCTTCTTCCCCCCCCCCCCCTCCGTCCAAACCTCCCATGCATGTCCGACGAAACACTCTCACCTTCCTCCCATGCAGGTCCGCTCCGCCTTCACCCTTCAACCATCCTCTTCCTCACCGTTCCAACCCCTGCCACCAGCACAGCTGCAGCATCAGCCCAGCCGCACAGTCAACAACCACAGCAGCAGCACTGGGCAGCAGCAGTCGAGTCTTTCTCTCTCCGCGCACCTCACAGAGGGTCTGCACCAGGCAGTGGCACGTAGAGGGGGCTCAGCTGAAGAGATTGCTGCTCTTTCTGTTGCTCTCTTCCGTGCTCTTGGTTTCACTGCCAGGTACAGCCTGTCTGTCTGTCTGCATGTCTGTCTCTTGCAGTTTGTACCCCTTGGTGTTGCTTCCACGTTATTTTCTGGCTGCCGCGCGAAGCTCTTTCCAGCAGCGCATTGTGCCTTATTTTGAGAAATAATTAGATAAGAGAAACCGAGCTGTCTTTAAATAAGAGAACGTGTCCTTCCGAAGATTTTGGCCCAAAATTTTGGATAATTTTCAGCTGGTTTTGATTATTCGTCACTAGTTGCTTCTCAGGTGACTCATGCCAATTCCAGTCATCGTGCGCTCAACTCCTTCGTCTAACGCTTTTGACGCTTTCGTCTAATCTCAAAAGCGTCATGTGTATCTCGGAGGTTAGACGAATGAGTTGAGCGCACGCACCATGACGATGAAGTGCTCACTCACCTTCCAACCTTCCTCCTCCATGCGCATTCCACTTCCTCCCTCCCTCTTGCCCCCCCTCCACAGGCTAGTAACAGCACTCTCCCCCTCCCCTCTGAAACCCACCGCTCAGCTCCTATCAGAATTCGACCCTTCCTCCGACGCCCCCTACCCACGCACACCCGCCTCCCGCTCCCCCTCCCCATTCACGCATCGCACGCGCATCCTCCCCCTCTCCTCCACCGCCCCCGCCGCTGCTCCCCCTGATCCGCCCCATGCACCTGGGCATCAGTTGCTTCTGCGCCATCAGGTGCGTGGTCCGTCTTCAGGTGCTGCTGCTGCCTTAAATGGTGCGCGTTTTCCCAAGGGACGCACTGCTGTTGCTGCCATTGCTGCCGCTGCTGCTGCTGGTGCTGCTGCTGGTGCTGCTGCTGGTGGTGTTGCTGCTTCTCCTGCTGCATTTCCTGGTGGTGCCACACTCGCTATTCCGGTTGCTGATTGTGACCGTACTGCTGGTGCAGCTGATAGTGCTGGTGTTGCTGCTGGTGGGAGGGGCAGGAGAGGGAAAAGAGCGGGAACGAGTGGGACAGGCGGGGCTCGGAGTACAAGGCTGGCAGTAGGAGTAGGAGAGGGTGTTATTATCTGCCGGAAGGGTGCATCTGCTGATGCGCCAGATGAAGCAGAAGAGGCAAAAATGGCACAGATACGCAGTGGTGGTGGCATCCGTGGCATAAGAGGCAGGGACAGGGGCAGGGGCAGTCGTGACAGTAGTGGTGGTGGTGGTGGTAGTAGTGGAGGTGATTCTAAAGAACCGGTAGGTGGAGAGGAGGAAGCAGCAGAGGAGAGTGGGGGGGGTGGTAGGGGCGAGAGAGGTGGTGGAGGCAGGGGAAGAGGAAAGCGGAGAGGACGGGGAGGGAGAGGGAGTGTGGTGGGGAAGAGGAGGCGTGGGAAGGAAGAGGAAGAGGAGGACAGGGGGAAGAGTGGGGAAAGAGAGAAGGACGGGACGGGGGTAGGGCGAGTGACGAGGCTAAGGGTAAAGAAGGAGAAGGATGCGGGGTGTGATCAGAGCGCGGATGAGAAGCGAATGGGTGGTAAATGTAAAGGAGGTAACTGTCAAGGAGGTGATTGTAAGGGAAGTGACTGTGAAAGATGTAATTGCAGAAGTCATGTGGCTGCGGTTAAGATTGAGGAAGGGGTGATGGAGGGCGGAAAAAGAGGCGAGGAGAGGGGAGGGGACTCTAAAGATGAAGTAGAGGTGGATGGAAGACGAGGAGGAGAAAGAGGAGGAGATAGAGCAGGGGCAGCAGCAGTAGAAACAGGAAGAGGAGAAGCAGGAGCAGGAGCAGGAGGAGGAGGAGGAGGAGGAGGAGGAGGAGGAGGAGGAGGAGGAGGAGGAGGAGGAGGAGGAGGAGGAGGAGGAGGAGGAGGAGGAGGAGGAGGAGGAGGAGGAGGAGGAGGAGGAGGAGGAGGAGGAGGAGGAGAAGAGTTGCATTCAGAACAGCAGCGGAAGCGAAAGAGAAAGGGAGACGAGGAGTTTGAGTTGCAGCTAGCTATGGCCATGGCTGCCACTGCTGCCGCTGCCCCTGCTGCTGCTGCTGGTAACCCCTCTCCCACAGCAGCAGCAGAGACTGCTGGGACTGCAGCGGTAGCAGCAGCAGTAGCTGGCATTGCTGCTGCCTCCTCCAGTGCTTGTACAAATGCTCTCACCAGCAGCGCAGCAGACTCACAGACAGATGCTCGGACGGGAAAACCAAGTGGAGGAGCAACAGGAGGAACAACTGGAGGAGGCACAGGAGGAGCAATGTCCCTGGAGCAAGAGGCATTTGTCAGCTGGAGCAATCCTGCAGCAAACAGGAGTGTCAGCAGCAGGAACGGTAAAAGCAGCGGCGGCGGTGCAGTGGTGTGGTCGCGCCAGTTTGCCTCAGCGTCGCACTGGGCTGAGGTGTTTGTGAGTGGCAGGAAGAGATGCCAGGCGGATGGCTCTGAGAGCAGCAGTGTTGTTGGGGCGGAGAAGAAGGGGGGTGCTGGAAGGATGGGTGGGAGGGCCATTGGTGGGAGGAGAGGTGGGAATTCACATGCTGGTAGTGGCGCTGCTGCTGCTGCTGCTGCTGCTGCTGCTGCTGCTGGTACTGGTTCTGGTGCTGGTGCTGGTAGTGTGGGGCGGTGGGTGCATGTGGATGGGGGGAGGGGGGTGGTGGACGGAGAGGACAAAGTGGAGGGCTTGTTGATGGGCATGTCCCAGCCTCTCACATACGTGGTTGGCTTGGCGGGTGGTGGAGCCAAGGACGTCACTAGACGGTACGCACATTCTTCTGCTGCATGGGTGTTTTGGTAACGTCTTAGTGCTTCATGTTCTGAGACGCCTCAGCGCCTCATGACGCGTCATGGTTTCGACTTGTCTTGTCGCCAAAGCAAAGCGGCTCATCGTCATGTCACGAAGCGGCGGTATGCACGTATTATTGCTTCATCGTCTCAGGCTGTTTTGCATTCTGCAGCACCCTGTGCCTTCCATGTTCATCACCTCTGCGACCTCTGTTAACCTGCGCTCATCTATGTTCACCTCACTTCACCGCTCTCCGCCTCGTCAGCAGCACCCTCCTATCCTCCTCTTCTGTTTCCCCTCTGCCTCTCTTCTCCTCCCTTCCCCATCCCTCCTTTCCTCAGCTACGCTGCACGCTGGTCCCTGGACTCGCCTCTCAGGGACGAATCTTGGTTGGCGTCCACCCTGCCTGCCCTGCTGCAATACATCTCTGTAACGCTTCTCAAGCTTTTATCCTGCTTTTGCCTCTCCCCCCCCCCACAACCCCTTTCAGCTACGCTGCACGCTGGTCACTGATCTCGCCTCTCAGGGACGAAGCCTGGTGGGCGTCCACCCTGTCCCCCCTGCGATCACTAGAAGCTGCCTCCACTGCTGCCAACCGCTTCCTCCCTCCTCCCGCTCCTCCTGCTCTTCCTCCTGCTCTTCCACTTCCTCCTCCTGCTCCTGCTTCTGCTCCTTCTCCTCCTACTGCGCTCCCCTCCTCTTCCATCGCACCGGTTCCAGCACCTTTAACTCCTCCAATCACCCAGGCTAACCCCTCAGCACCGTCCTCTGTAACCCCACCACTCTCAGCCCCAGCCCCTATCCTCGCCTCCGCCCCGTCTCCCTCCTCTGTGACTCCCCTGCCGGTTTCCATGGCCTTGTCTGGCCTGCGGCCCTCTGCTGCTGCCTCCTCCGGCCTTGCAGGGTGTTCTGCTACAAGTGCGAGTGCAGGTGCGAGTGCAGGTGCAGCAGAGAGGGTTACGGCAGCAACAGCAGCAACTGCACCAGCAGCAGCAGCAGCAGCAGCAGCACGAGCAGCAGCGTGGGACGAGAGGGCAGCAGCGGAGGACATGGAGATGGACGTGAAGCAGCTCACAGAACCGCTGCCGTCCAACCAGCAGGTGAGGTGATGCCGCTGGCCCGCTGCTCTTACCAGCAGGTGACTTACAAGCAGCGCCAGTGCTGCCCTTGCTCACTCTTAGTCCGCGTGTGATAAGTCGAATTTTTAGTCAACTCAAAAATCGACTCATCACACGCAGGTCGCTTACAAGCAGCCTCAGTGCTTCCCTTGCTCACTCTTACCACTTCTTTGTTTGGTTCGGTACTCTTTTGCACCCCCTCCCAACTCCCCACACCTCCCACACCTACTCACCCCGCACCCCACCCACAGCAACCCCACCCACAGCAACCCCACCTCCCCCCACCTCCCACACTGCACCCTCCCAGGCGTACCGCAGCCACCCTCTGTACCTGCTGGGGTGGTGGCTGGGTGCGTACCAGTGCCTTGCTTCGTTCTTCCCGTTTCGTTGCTCACCCAACCCCCACCACACCCCCCGCCCCACCCCACACCCCTCTCCCCCACCCTCAGGCGTACCACAATCATCCTCTATACGTGTTGGAGCGGTGGCTGGGAGCGTACCAGTGCCTGCGCCCCAGGGGACCCGACCTGTGCTGGGGATTTCGTTCTTCCCGTTTCATTGCTCCCCCTCTCTCCTCACCTCAAACCCCACGACCCCTCCGCCCCCTCCCACATAACCCCTCCGCCCCCTCCTTCCAGGCATACCGCAGCCATCCTCTATACGTTTTGGAGCGGTGGCTGGGAGCATACCAGTGCCTGTGCCGCAGGGGGCCCGTGCTGGGGGGTTCGTTCTTTCCGTTTCATTACGCCTTCTCCCCCCCCCTCTCCCCCACCAGGCATACCGCAGCCATCCTCTATACGTGTTGGAGCAGTGGCTGGGAGCGTATCAGTGTCTGCGACCCAGGGGGGCCGTGCTGGGTCTGGGGGGGTCGTTCTTTCTGTTTCATTACTCTCCCTCTCCGCTCGCCCGTCCCACACCTGGCTCCCCCTCCACCAGGCATACCGCAGCCATCCTCTATACGTGTTGGAGCGGTGGCTGGGAGCGTACCAGTGTCTGCGACCCAGGGGCCCCGTGCTGGGGGTGTGTGGCGGGGAGGCGGTGTTCCCCCGCGCGTGCGTGCAGCAGCTGAGGTCGCGGCACCAGTGGTTGAAAGAGGGCAGGCGCGTGCGTGACGGGGAGACGCCTGTCAAGACAGTGAGTGATTTTTTAGCCGACTCATTTTGGAAATGACTTGGTAATCAGCTTGGTTCAGAGTCAGTTTCTGAGTTGACCTGCAAACACCTGAGGTTGCTGCATCAGCGGCTGAAGGAGGGCAAGGGTGGGGTAGATGGGTAAGGGAGGGAGGGGAGGGAACAGGAAGGGGAGGGGAGTGGGGGGAGGGGAGGAGTGGGGAGGAGCTTGCATGATGGAGAGGTGTCTGTGAAGGGAAGATGGGAGTTGGTTGGTGGTCACTTCTTAGAATTCTCAACGTTGGGGTGTTCGTGAATTTTATGGGTTCCCTCGTCGTTTTCTTGGAGTAACTCAAATATCTCCTCTCCTTCTTCTGTCTCTGCTGCTGCTGCTCCGTAGCATGCCTCGCCATCTGTCCAGGTTCCTTCTGTCTTTCTCATTTCTGCTTGTGCCCCTCCCTTGCTCCCTCTCTCCCTTGCACCGCATCACCCCACACCCCTCCCTCTCAGCTCACACGCAAGCCCCCGACTCCTCGCGCCGTCCGCCGCCGCAACCCCTACCAGTCACGCACCCACATTCTGCCCCACGAGTGCTTTCCCTCCCACGTCGCTGCTCGTATGCGTGCCACTGCCCGTGCTAGTGCTGCTGGAGGTGCTGGTGGTAGTAATGGTGGGCGGATGGGTGGTGCAGGATCAACTGCTGCTGAGGATGAGGATGCAGCAGCAGCAGCCGTTGGATCAATGGACGGAAGAGGAGGAGGAGCAGCAGCAGGAGCAGGTAGGGCAACGGGTGACGAACCTTCCTCCTCCTCCTCATCATTCACAATCACCATTGAGCTCTTTGGCGAATGGCAGACTGACACCTGGCGCCCGCCGCCCGCAGTGGACGGCCGGATTCCCAAGAACGAGCGGGGGCAGGTGGAGGTGTGGTCGGAGAAATGCCTCCCTCCCGGCACTGTTCACCTGCGGTTACCGCGTCTTGTAACGGTGGTGCAGCGGCTGGGGTTTGACTTTGCGCCGGCCGTGGTGGGGTTTGAGTGGAAGGGGGGCAAGGCGACGCCGAAGTATGAAGGGCTGGTGGTGTGTGCAGAGCACGCCGATACTATAGTGGATGTGAGTGTAATGAAGGGGATGGGATGGGGTGGGGTTCTGAGACGTCTCAAAACTCCAAGTACGAGGGGCTGGTGGTAAGTAGGGATGGTAATCTGGGGATGATGTGGGTTGGAAACGGAGGGATGAAGGTATGAGTAGAGTGCAAGGAGGAGCGTGTAGACAACTGCAAAGCCCCTGCCATCTTCCATTTTGTCTAATTGCTTCACTCTGATTCTCTTCCCTCTCCCTCCCTCCCTCCCTGCAGGCGTACACAGCAGAGGAGCAGCGGCAGCAGGAGCTGGCGCTACAGCGGCGGCGCAATGCGGCATTGGAGCGATGGCATGTGCTCATAGGGGCCATGACCACACGCCAGAGGTTGCAGGATACCTATGAAGCTGCTGCTGCTGCTAATGACAGTGGTGGTGCTGCTGCTGGCGGTGGTGGTGGTGGTGCTGGCGGTGCTGCTGGTGATGATGGTGGTGATGGTGTTGCTGCTGCTGTTGGTGTGGGTGCTATGGACGGTGAAGGGAGCAAGATTGGCGGGTTTCGGAGGGAAGGGGTGGAGCGATTGGAAATTGGATGTGCGGTGGAGGGGGAGGAGGAAGGGGAGGAAGAGGACGACAACGAGGAAGAAATGAGTGAGGGGGAAAGGGAAGAGGAGGAAGGAGAAGAGGAAGGGGAGGAGGAGGGCAAGGGTGCGGGTGGTGAGAGGCGGGTGAGAGCAGGGCACGTGCATGAGTTCGAAGTGGTGTGTGTGGAGGGAGGGAATCTCAGTGGAGGGAATCAGGGTGCTTCTGGTGGGGATGATGGTGGGGTTGATGGCGCGGTGGGTGGTGGTGTGGGAGGTGTTGAGTGTCCTCGTGTGGTACGTAAGCGTTGTTGGTGTGGATTCGAGGTGGAGGTGGAAGAGATGTGATGTGACTCTCGCTTTGATTTTAAAGCAAGGGTGCACTTTGGGGGGGGTGGAGGCAAAGGTTTCTCACTCGCCTCCATGTGGTTACCCTATTTGTCTTGGGAGTCTGAGCGAACCACGCTTTAGTGTTGGCGGACTTGCGCGGGTTGTTTCTCCCCCGTCGTCAATTGTGACGGGCCCACTGGGGGTTGGGAACTTGAGTCACAACTAGGCAGTTTGTGAACCATTATGCTCTCGACTCTCGTACAGTACCACAACACACTGCAAGCAGGAATAGCTTTGCAACCACAACCCCAGCGCGCCGCCATCATCAGAGCACTAGTGCAGGCAAACGATAAACGTGACAGCTAGAGTAGCACACCGTCTACTAATGGCGGAACTTAGGGTTACGGCCAGCGAACTCATCGCGCCCGCCCCGTGTTTATCTCGACCGCACTGGATGCATTTTACGCCCGACATCGCAAGGGAAATTAGGCGCGAATTCGTCGCGACGGCGCACGCAGCACATGCCTTTCGTATCGAGCGGACGACTACATCGCACCCAAATCGCCGATGACACGTGCTGGAATCGATTGCTATCCCCGCCTCCCACTACGCAGCCCACTCCGCGCGAACCAGGTCCAAACGCCATGCCGCTTCCTATCCAGAGCTAACCCCGCATTCGCCTTAGGGTTGCACAATGCTCTGCACACCAATGCTCGGGAGGAAATGGCACTCACACCACTACTCCGCCTTATAAACGCGACGTGAAGACGGAAGGTGATCTCTTCCGTCTGCGTGTCGCGAGTAGTGCTCAACTTCGTCCCCGCTGCCCATTCGCCGTTTTCTCGCTTAATCGCCTCTGCAGCCTATTCCCCTCTCTCCCTTGCTCCGCGCTCTGCTCGACATGCGCTCTGTCCACTCCCGTGACGATCTCCTCCCGGCGTCGCGTGCGCCCCTCCCCCCGGCGTCGCGTGCGCCCTTCCCCGTGGCGTCGCGTGCGCCCTTCCCCTCGGCGTCGAGTGCGCCCTTCCCCCCGGCGTCGCGTGCGCTCTTCCCCTCGGCGTCGCGTGCGCCCTTCCCCCCGGCGTTGCGTTCGCCCTTCCCCGCCCTGTCCTATCCCCTCACCCCGCCCTGTCCTATCCCCTCACCCCGCCCTGTCCTATCCCCTCACCCCGCCCTGTCCTATCCCCTCACCCCGCCCTGTCCTATCCCCTCACCCCGCCCTGTCCTATCCCCTCACCCCACCCTGTCTTATCCCCTCACCCCGCCCTGTCCTATCCCCTCACCCCGCCCTGTCCTATCCCCTCACCCCGCCCTGTCCTATCCCCTCACCCCGCCCTGTCCTATCCCCACCCCTAGAAATCCAAACCACCTGACGGGGGAAGGGCGGGCCAAAGGCGGAAGCAGCACTCGGATCCTCTGCTTCGACCGGGATTCAATTTTTTTGGCGAAACTCCATTTTGCCCGTGGCGAGACGATTTTACTCGGATTTGACTCGGATTCGGCGCAAAAGGGTGTTGGATCTTACAAAATCCAAACCACCTGATGGCGCAACGAAATGGGCGCAAGAGTGGTTACACTACCGGTTTGGATTATCGACGGTCGCACGAAAGCGACGTCGCAACCACTGTTGTACAGTATTTGTATATAAACTTTGTTGTTGACACTTTGGTGTAATTCTGACAAGCAGAATGTCAAAATGGCTAAGTCAAAATTCTATATGGTTTGGCTCATAACTCCATCATTTGTTGGTCATTTTCACACAAATATGGATTTCCAGCATCTCCTTGATGTCCTCTACAAGCGGGCATGAGTTTGTTATTTTGTCAAATTTGTTCCATTTTGTCACTTTTCTCTCAACTAAGATTGCTCATAGCACATGTAAAGTCATTCTCTGTGCATCACACACATGTGTTATGTGGTGACCATTTTTTTTAGCATTGTTAGTGTTATGACACCTGTTCCAGCCCCCCTGAACATTTTCAGCTATATGCAAACTGATTTGGTGGACTTTTTCTTGCAATGAAGTTAGTGTACAGAAATGCCTGGACTTAGGTTTCAATTGAAATCACCCACTTCTCCTTGAGCAAATGAGCTGATTTTTATAGGAGACTCTCACCACACATATTCCAGACCCCCACATGAGATTCACCTCATTTGCCCAAGGTTTGATATGTGTTTTAAGCCTTGCTGTGCAGCAGTCTGCAGAATTCTGTGCAGGGTTGCCTGGAATCAGGTTTCAATTGTAATCACCCACTTCTCCTTGAGCAAATGAGCTGATTTTTATAGGGGACTCTCACCACACATATTCCAGACCCCCACATGAAATTCACCTCATTTGCCCAAGGTTTGATATGTGTTTTAAGCCTTGCTGTGCAGCAGTCTGCAGAATTCTGTGCAGAATTGCCTGGAATCAGGTTTCAATTGAAATCACCCACTTCTCCTTGAGAAAATGAGCTGATTTTTATAGGGGACTCTCACCACACATATTCCAGACCCCCAAATGAAATTCATCTCATTTGCCCAAGGTTTGATATGTGTTTTAAGCCTTGCTGTGCAGCAGTCTGCAGAATTCTGTGCAGAATTGCCTGGAATCAGGTTTCAATTGTAATCACCCACTTCGCCTTGAGCAAATGAGCTGATTTTTATAGGGGACTCTCACCACACTTATTCCAGACCCCCACATGAAATTCATCTCATTTGCCCAAGGTTTGATATGTGTTTTAAGCCTTGCTATGCAGCAGTCTGCAGAATTCTGTGCAGAATTGCCTGGAATCAGGTTTCAATAGTAATCACCCACTTCTCCTTGAGCAAATGAGCTGATTTTTATAGGGGACTCTCACCACACATATTCCAGACCCCCAAATGAAATTCACCTCATTTTCCCAAGGTTTGATATGTGTTTTAAGCCTTGCTGTGCAGCAGTCTGCAGAATTCTGTGCAGAATTGCCTGGAATCAGGTTTCAATTGTAATCACCCACTTCGCCTTGAGCAAATGAGCTGATTTTTATAGGGGAATCTTAATACACTTATTCCAGACCCCCACATGAAATTCACCTCATTTGCCCAAGGTTTGATATGTGTTTTAAGCCTTGCTGTGCAGCAGTCTGCAGAATTCTGTGCAGAATTGCCTGGAATCAGGTTTCAATAGTAATCACCCACTTCTCCTTGAGCAAATGAGGTGATTTTTATAGGGGACTCTCACCACACATATTCCAGACCCCCAAATGAAAGTCAACTCATTTGCCCAAGGTTTGATATGTGTTTCAAGCCTTGCTGTGCAGCAGTCTGCAGAATTCTGTGCAGAATTGCCTGGAATCAGGTTTCAATTGTAATCACCCACTTCGCCTTGAGCAAATGAGCTGATTTTTATAGGGGACTCTCACCACACTTATTCCAGACCCCCACATGAAATTCATCTCATTTGCCCAAGGTTTGATATGTGTTTTAAGCCTTGCTATGCAGCAGTCTGCAGAATTCTGTGCAGAATTGCCTGGAATCAGGTTTCAATAGTAATCACCCACTTCTCCTTGAGCAAATGAGCTGATTTTTATAGGGGACTCTCACCACACATATTCCAGACCCCCAAATGAAATTCACCTCATTTTCCCAAGGTTTGATATGTGTTTTAAGCCTTGCTGTGCAGCAGTCTGCAGAATTCTGTGCAGAATTGCCTGGAATCAGGTTTCAATTGTAATCACCCACTTCGCCTTGAGCAAATGAGCTGATTTTTATAGGGGAATCTTAATACACTTATTCCAGACCCCCACATGAAATTCACCTCATTTGCCCAAGGTTTGATATGTGTTTTAAGCCTTGCTGTGCAGCAGTCTGCAGAATTCTGTGCAGAATTGCCTGGAATCAGGTTTCAATAGTAATCACCCACTTCTCCTTGAGCAAATGAGCTGATTTTTATAGGGGACTCTCACCACAAATATTACAGACCCCCAAATGAAAGTCAACTCATTTGCCCAAGGTTTGATATGTGTTTCAAGCCTTGCTGTGCAGCAGTCTGCAGAATTCTGTGCAGAATTGCCTGGAATCAGGTTTCAATTGTAATCACCCACTTCGCCTTGAGCAAATGAGCTGATTTTTATAGGGAACTCTCACCACACATATTCCAGACCCCCACATGAAATTCATCTCATTTGCCCAAGGTTTGATATGTGTTTTAAGCCTTGCTGTGCAGCAGTCTGCAGAATTCTGTGCAGAATTGCCTGGAATCAGGTTTCAATTGAAATCACCCACTTCTCCTTGAGCAAATGAGCTGATTTTTATAGGGGACTCTCACCACACATATTACAGACCCCCACATGAAATTCACCTCATTTGCCCAAGGTTTGATATGCGTTTTAAGCCTTGCTGTGCAGCAGTCTGCAGAATTCTGTGCAGAATTGCCTGCAATCAGGTTTCAATTGTAATCACCCACTTCTCTTTGAGCAAATGAGCTGATTTTTATAGGGGACTCTCACCACACATATTCCAGACCCCCACCTGAAATTCATCTTTTTTCGTAGACGTGTAGTATGTTTTTCACTCTCTCCTCTGCAGGCGGGAGCAGAGCACTTTGGTGAAATGTACAACATTTGTTTTGTACTCCAATGCCACTGTTATACGGGTGCTAATGATAGGGCACTCATCTCACACTTATAGGATTACCCGTTATAGTATTGGGTGTGCTAATCATGCAAAGTTCATGCTTGTGTTTGAATTATGGGTTACAAAAACTAGTACTATACGTGCTACACAAGTACCCCTATAGCGGTACTCTCGGATGTAGGGTGTCATTCGATTTCTGACACGTGTGACAGGTCGCAGAGACAGCTCTATTTCCAGGTTGCGGAGGGAACCATGCGGATGGGATAGCTATACGTGGCAGCCTGTCATTAACCTGTCACAGGACACCATTCGTTTTTTTTAGGGGCTGCCCGTCACCATTTCGTACGAGGTCGAGGCAAAGCTGAGACCATGCAATGGCACCGCAGAACATGCAATATGCTAACATGGCAAAGAGTAGTTCGCAAATGGTCGAAGGGAAATGGTGAGAAGTCTAATATTTTGAGCCATGGGGCAGAAAATTCTTACTACGCCTGGCGTTTGAGGACAGAGCACAACCAATTCTACCAGCGAAGCAGAAGTTGGGATCAGGGTGGGTGCACCAAAGCTCGACGTCATTCTCGCCATTCCAATCTGAGTCGAGGTTCCACAACTAGTCTCACAAGCTTCCCTCTCATTCTAGTGTCGGCCTCTTATCCTGCAGGTAGAGAGTGTTTGTTAGTAACCGTTTAGCTACCTGCCATCTTCTGGCATACTTACGCGATGTCGTCCCAGCTAATCTCAGACGGCTGCGGATTGTCGGTACGACTAGGGCGGGAGTCTTATGAAAGGTTAATCGCTCGTCAGGAAGAGTGGAACGAGGCGTTGTTACTTTTCGGCCTAGTGTATGTATCCAAGCGCGGTTTGTAACGCACGCTGACTTCATCGACACGTTGAACCCTTGTTTTTTAGACAGGCACCTGCTATCTTCTTACCTCTGCGACATGTCGGCTTGGATGCAGGGAGGTTGCCAAGGACAAGATTGGGGATCCTCGCGTTCGCAAAGACATAAAGATTCTGGCTCCTACCGAGCATCGGCGTTTGAGGTCTGCTGTCCCGCGTGTCCCCAGTTGTGGCAGCGAACATCGGTCGCTGTTGGACTACCAGATGGTTTTAATACCCATGATATCAGAGTGAGTTTCCTGACATGTATCCGCAACGTGTGTCGATGACACCAGCTATCTTGCTAATCCAAACTTCCATGTACCGCAGAGTCGCTGTTGTTCGCTCGACGGCGATCAGTCTCATGGTGCTGATGAACCCGCAAGATTTGTTAGCACATCCCCGCGGAGAGTACCGTACGCGTGTGCTACACTTCGACCCTAAATCTGCAATCCCAACCCATCGCCACAGCGAGGATGCCAAGGAGGTGTTCGAGTAGGTATCACTCCTTAAGCAGATGTGCGGTTTGTGTGGACGCATGATATTGATTATTTGCGACCCCCTTGCCCTGCAGCTGGCTTATCCGACAACTAGATGTGGAATACATCCGAGGTCGCAGGGTCTTTGGCAGCCACGCCGAAGCGGTGCAGAAAGATTTGAGGGCTCGCCTAAATGATCTGATTCTGGAGGAAGGCAGGGTAAGGAAGGAGCCTCTATTTTTATGATTTAAGCATTGTATGATATCAAGCTTGTACAAAGTAACGGGAGTGTCTGACAACCACCTTTTCACGCACATGTTGCAGATCAACAAGGTTCAGGGACAGAGGCAAGTGGGTTCCGGGCTGCATGTTACCCATGTGTTCAGCAAGTTGCTGGACAAATGGGGGGATGTCATGGCGATTCAGTCTGTAGAGCCGATGATGGTCTTAGGGAAGGGGAAAAACAGCGCGAAAGAAATTCGGAGTATGCTGGAGTCGACCTGCAGGGCCTTCTTCGACCTGCAAGGAGTCCAGCTCCGTCCCGCCCCGGATGCAGTCATGACGACCCACTGTGCTCGAGTGGTAGAGAGCGCACCCGCACAGAACAGATCCGAAGCGGTAGAGGGACAGATAGACGTACCTGCCGCAAACTGGGACGCAAATCCAAGAGTTGGGTTTATTTCATATTCCCGCCGACCTGCACCGAGGGATGTACTGAGTGGCCCGACATCAAGGGCAGCCACTGCTGACGAGCGTGATAGGTCTGGAGATAGGCAGCACAGGTTTGCTGATCGGGTTAGGATGCCGCAGGAACGCGAAGCACGGACGGAGATCGACTTGGCAAGCGTAGCAGATGAAGGCGAGGAGGGTGTAGAAGATCCACAGCTGCCAAGTCAGGTCGAACAGGCAGAGGAGCACTGGAGGAAGGCGGCTGATGAAAAGCGGATGGTCGAAGCAGAAGCCAAGAGTAGACGGGCTGAAGAGATGCAGCGGCGCAGTGATGGTGGCACCGATCCTACCGTCTCTTTCCCGGGAACTGGAGACATACGTGAAGCATGGGAGCGTGGGGCACGAGCCGCTGCAAGGGCACACGTGGGAGAGGCAGGAGAGGAGCTCGCCAGCAATGTGCGGCAGCATATCGAGGAGGATAGGGGATACGTGAAAGTTCGCTTGCCTAGCCTAAAGCGGAAGGCGGCAGAAGAGGCCCGGAGAGGGGACGTCGACGTGCCAGAGAATTCGGGAGAGGCGAAAAAGAAGGAGGAGAGCAACGCGGGTGCTAAGGCTCATAAGATGGTGGAGGTAGAGGCGCACCAGAATGCAGAGGATGCGGCCCATCGGTTCGTCGATGCAGAGGCGGTACTTACGGCAGAGGACGGGGCGCCAAAGGAAGCAGAGTCTGCGGCGCAGCAGAAGGTGGGTGCAGAGGCGGTCAAGGGTGCGGAGGCAGTCGCGCGTAAAGAAGCGGGTGCAGCAGCAGAGCTGACGTCGGAGGCAGTCGAGCTGATGGTTGTGGAGGCAGTGGCGCAGAAGGAATCAGAGGCAATGGCGAGCCAGAAGGATGAGGCAGCGGCGCAGCAGAATGATGAGGCAGACGCACATAAGGAATCAGCGGCAGCAGCGCAGCAGAAGGATGAGGGTGCGGCGCCCAGGATGGTTGAGGCAGAGGCGCAGAAGGAATCAGAGGCAGCGGCGCAGCAGAAGGAGGAGGGTGCGGCGCCGAAGATGGTTGAGGCAGAGGCGCAGAAGGCATCAGAGGCAGCGGCGCTGCAGAAGGAGGAGGGTGCGGCGCCGAAGATGGTTGAGGCAGAGGCGCAGAAGGCATCAGAGGCAGCGGCGCTGCAGAAGGAGGAGGGTGCGGCGTCGAACATGGTTGAGGCAGAGGCGCAGAAGGAATCAGAGGCAGCGGCGAGGGAGAAGGATAAGGCAGCGGCGCTGCATATGGAGGAGGCAGACGCACATAAGGAAGGAGAGGCTCGGAATAAGGCAGAAGCAGCGGCGCGGCAGAAGGCGGAGGCAGAGGAGCAGAAACAGGCTGCGGAAGAGGCACTACAACTGGCTCGGGCTGAAGCGCGGAAGAAGGCTGTTGTAGAGGCGCAGAAGAAGGCGGAGGGTGTTGCGCAGAAGATGTCAGAGGCCGAGGAGCAGAAGCAGGCTGAGGCAGACGCACGAAGGAAGCCAGATGGAGAGGACGGTTCAGATGGGAATAAAATGGTACAGACAGAGGGACGGGAGACGGCGGGTGCTGAGGGGCACATCATCGCAGAGGAAGAGGGGCAGCATAACGAGGAGGCAGCGTCGCAGGTATTCGCATACCGAGAGACGCAGAGCATGGCAGAGACAGGGCGTCAAAATACTATGGAGGAGGTTCGTGTCGTCCCGGAGGCTGGAGTGGGGCACTACGAGGGAGATGCGCTGGAAACAGAAGAGGAGCAGAATGAGGAGGATACGGTACATCCGGCAGTACGGATATTTTTGGGAGGAAGTCCGACGCGGGGACCAGGAACCGGGGTAGAGGGGCCATGGAGGGTGGCAGACGATGGGGCGCCTAGGGATACAGTGGGTCTCAACAGGCAGAGGCGGCCCACCCTTCACCAGAGAGCAGTGGAGAGGAATCTCGGCCAAGGCGGGGTGGCAGAAGCGTTTTGGCAGGTAGAGTGGGTCGAGGCAGAGACGGCAATACGGCGGATGCTGCATCGGACGAGTATAGTCCTGGTCGAACAAGGTGACAGGTTCGTCGAGGCCGAAAGCTGGGACATAAGCCCGGCAGAGGTAACGCGTCGTCTGACGCTCTTAGCCCGAATGGTGACGCAGACGTTCTGCAACTTGGCGGCCCGCAACAGCAGCATCAGTCGCGACGTGGCCGATCTGACCGTCCATTACTGTCGCGACGCCCTGGCCAACCTGGAAGAAGTCCGCCATGGAAACGAGGAACGGCGGCGCCAAGCTGAAACGGCGGCCAGGTTTCGCGAGGAGGTGGACACGAGACTCTCCAACTTGCAGGAGAGTATCGTAAGGGTGAGTGATCAGGTTCGCCAGTCGGGAGGGGGGATGGCGGAGGGCACGTTAAAGGGGGTGGAAGAGAGGTTGAGAGAGGTTCTGAGAGAAGAGTCTGAGCGGCGGAACAGGGATAGACTGCAGGACGAGGAGCGGAGGCAGAAGGCCATGAGGAAGGAAGCAGACGCCGCAGAGAGACGGAAGAAGGAACAACAGCAGGAGGAAGTGCGTCGGCAGAAGGAGATGAGAGAGGGAATGAAGGAGATGAAGGAGGCGATGATGAAGGAGATGAAGGCAGAAATGAAGGAGATGAAGGATGGGATGGTAAACCAGATTGTGGGGAGGTTGAGCGCGGTTTTGCGAGAAGAATCCGAGCGGCAGAAGAAGGAGAGGCAAGTGGACGCGGAGCGGCGACAACAGCAGGACGCGAAGAGGAAACAAGTGGCGGACGACGAGGAGAGACGCAAGAGGATACAACTGGACGAGCAATGGCGGAAGGAGGAGGAGGTGAAGAGGAAGGACGTAGAGGCCACAGAGCGGCGGAGGAAGAACAAACATCAGGAGGAAGAGCGACGGCAGAAGGAGGTGGAGGCGGGAATGAAGGAAGTGATGGAGGCTGTGAAGGAGATGAAGACGGGGATTACGGGGTGGAAGGAGGGGATGATAAGTGAGGTGGAAAAGCGGCTGTCAATGGTTCTGAGATTGGACGCAGAGCGGCGGCAAAAGGAGGAGCAGGGTAGGAAGGCAACGGAGGGAGATCGGCGACAGAAGGAGGATGCGCAGAGGAAGGAGGCAGAGGAAGCAGAGCGGGTGGAGAGGGAGAAACAGCAAGAGATGGCGCTCCTGCAGAAGGAGGAGGCGCAGCGGAAAGATGCAGAGGAGGCCGAGAGGCAGGAGAGGGAGAAACAGCAGGAGATGGCGCGCCTGCAGGAGGAGGACAGGCAGAGGAAGGAGGCAGAGGAGGTAGAGCGGCGTCAGAGGGCGAAACAGCAGGAATTGGACCGCCTGCAGAAGGAGGAGACGCAGAAGAAGGAGGCAGAGGAGGCCGAGCGGCAGCAGCGGGCGAAACAGCAGGAGATGGAGCGCCTGCAGAAGAAGGAAGCGCAGAAGAAGGAGGTAGAGGAGGCCGAGCGGCAGCAGAGGGCGAAACAGCAGGAGATGGAGCGCCTGCAGAAGGAGGATGCGCAGAAGAAGGAGGCAGAGGAGGCCGAGCGGCAGCAGAGAGCGAAACAGCAGGAGATGGAGCGCCTGCAGAAGGAGGAAGCGCAGAAGAAGGAGGCAGAGGAGGCCGAGCGGCAGTAGAGGGCGAAACAGCAGGAGATGGAGCGCCTGCAGAAGGAGGAAGCGCAGAAGGAGGCAGAGGAGGCGGAGCGGCAGCAGAGGGCGAAACAGCAGGAGATGGAGCGCCTGCAGAAGGAGGAAGCGCAGAAGAAGGAGGCAGAGGAGGCGGAGCGGCAGCAGAGGGCGAAACAGCAGGAGATGGAGCGCCTACAGAAGGCGGAGCAATGCCGAGCAGAGATGAGGGCCAGACTTGCATCCTACGCGGAACAGCAGCGGCAACTGGAGGCAAAGGCAAAGGCGATGGCTGAAGAGACGGAACGATTGGCAAGGGAGATGGAAGAGGAGGATTTGACCATGCAGGGGGAGGGGACCTGGACAGGAGTCGAGGAGGATTTGACCATGCAGGGGGAGGGGACCTGGACAGGAGTCGAGGAGGAAATAGTTGAGGGGTTGGGGACTTTGCTGTTGATTGAGAGCGGGGAGGCGAATGTAGCAGAGGGCGTGCCTAGTGTTCCTGTACGGAATGTAGAGGTGTCCAGGAGGCGGCCTAGACAAGAGGACAGGGAGCCGGAGGGTCATGCGGCTAAGAGACGGCGTGCAGCTGGAATACAGGAGTTGATACCCATAATCCAAGGGGAAAAGAAAGGGATGAAGATCGACAAGTGTGACAACAGGAAAAACGCCGTAGTGGACGACAAGGGTAAGACTTTGGGTGTCTGCCTGCCGTTCAGGGGAAGCGGGTTCTCTCAACGGGGCGAGGGAGCTTTGCAGAAGTGGACGTCTGAGCAGACCGTCGGCGGCCGGAAGCGGAACCTCGGCTCTCACAAAACGGTGTGGGAGAGGGCATACACGGTCGCAGTCTGCTGGAAGTTCTACTTCCCGGATATTGACATGCAGGCATACGGCATGAATCCAAACCGTATTAACAAGTGGCGGGAAGACCTCGACTTCACAACGTGGCTTCCAACAGGGGTGTGGAGCGTCATCAACGAACTCCACCTGGACAAACCGGACGGGTGAGTGTTTATGTGATGTACAGTTGCAACTTCTAAACACCCGCGGAGAAGAAAACCAAGAAATCGTCCGCGAAGGGGAACGCGACGAAGGATGCGTCGACGGAGGAGAACACCGGCACTGGCGGCCAGGATTGATAGAGGCAGACGGGTTCTTTGGAGGTCTTGTTAGTACCGCAGTAGAAATAGATTTTCCTTTTCGTTTTTTTTATTTAACCGTGTATAAATATAGGTGTTGTTGTATACAATACAATGAGAGATGTATTTTTGCTATGCAAACCTTCACTACAGTAGCAAAATTTGTAGGGCGCGTATGGAGCTAGCAATGCAGCCGATAGAACTCGCCATCAAAGGGAGGGCCAGGCGAATAAAAAAATTGACGACAGGACGGCCTTCTACGACACTTAATCTACGTTTAATACTCGGCTTCTACGAAGAGGTAGAAGTATGGGGCTAAACAATCGCATAACATCTTGTCTAAGGGAGCACCTTGTTAAGAACGTATACGGTATTCATATGCACAGACCTTTCTGCTATGGAGATTGAATTCCTCGACGCCGAATTCTGGAGGCAAATTGGAAACGCCACTATACCGCAGAAAAACCGACGTGTTGATAATATCTACCGTCATGGATAGGATCTTCGTTGCTACTAGTAGAATATGACACTGCTTTGCCCAGAAACATATGCTGAGACTGAATAAATCCACGCAAAAGTCTACCGAGTGACCTAAGAACACACATCTACAATCGTGAGAGTGAATTCATCGACGCCGCTCTGTAGAATAAAATCGTATACGATACGACATGACTCCGCAGAATTTCGCCCGGTGTATACCATCGATGTGTGCTTCATTGCATACACCAGAAAAACATTCTACGAAAAACAGCGCGCCCAGGGAATAAGGTGGCATACAAGCCCCAAATCGGGCTTCTACAGAGACAGACAAGTGCCTGTAGTGCATATTCGGTACAACCGGAATAAAGTACCCAAATAACTAAACCGCCCCACCCTTAAGGTACATGCCCCCTCATTTCTGCTCCTTGCGTTTCGACGCTTCGCCCTTCGCCTTTTCCCGTTCCGCCTTCTTCGCCGCAGCGGTTCGTTGTTTCTCCTCTTCCGCCTTCTCCTGCGCCATGTGTTCCTTGTGGATCTCCTCCCACTCATCATCACCAAACAGCGAAGTTGCCCACTCCTGGTCGCGAAGGCCCTTCTTGACTAACAGCCAGCCCACTCTGCGTTGCGCCAGGTCGTTGACGGTCCTCTTTTCCGTCGACGAACCGGTCTTCTGTTTCTTGATGGTCGGAGTCTCATGCAGCACAGCCAGGCCGTTGGTGAATTCCGTGAAGTTGCACACGAGTAAAACCTCGTCCAGCAGCTTAATGGCCGTTGCGGTCGCCGCCTCGGAGCTGTCTTTTCTTAGCGTCTCCACGGAAACCATGACACGATGCACGCGACGCATCTTTCGCTCGCATGCACCCACAGCCATCCCGGGCGTACCTTTGACAGCGAACCGGGAATATGCGGTGATGAAGCTGGAATTCTTGTCCTTCTTCTTATACCGGTCGAACTCTGCAAAGACTTCGCGCAGTGACCGGCCGCCCATGATGAGGCTTGGCTGCACCCACACTTTCCAGGCAGCAGCAACAGTGGTGGCTTCGCGCCAAGACACAACGACCACGACGAAGAATTCTTGGATGGCAACTGGTGCTTTGGATGCGTCCGTTGCCTGGTTTCCTCCTGTTCCCGCGCTCTTCGACGATCCGTCGATCTCTGCAGAGGTGTTTGCCGCGTCATCCCTGGCCGCAACAAACCTCTTGTATGCTTCGAACTCTGCAATGACCCGTGTGAGAATAAGCGAACAGGAATGAATGAACTAGCAGTGAAATGAGTACAAGTAGGAAACCCTAGAATTGTGTACCCCCTATAGGCTAACCCACTGTAGCCTACACAAGCAGAACATATCTAATGTTTGACACACCCCCATAGGCAAAGTGGGGGAGAACAAGGGGTCACAAGACCAGTCAAGCAAAGCAAAGCAAGCTCAGGGTGGATCACAAAGTCACCACACAGTCCGAGCACAAGAGCAGGGCTAGAGGCCAGTTCACATGCAGGAGTACAGACATATATATAAAACTAGACAAGCAAGAGCAGGTATATATATATGTCACAGTACAAGTGAAGTCAAGAGGAGAGCAAGTGAGGCAAGACAGGCACAAGACCCAGCTGGGTGCAAAAGCGCTGATGGTCACAAGGCGCGAGTGCCTTGGTGAACACATCAGCAGTGTTGGCCTCAGAGGCCACGTACGCAAGTCGCAACTGACCACGCTGCTGCAGCTCACGAGCAAGGAAGTAGCGGAGAGCAATGTGCTTCGTTCTGTGCTCCAAGCGCTGCTCTCGACACAAGGCCAGCATGGCCTTGTTGTCTACGTACAGCACTGGAGGAGAACGAGGCGGCTCTCCAAGGTCAGTCAGCAGGTAGGTGAGCCAGCGAAGCTCCTGTGCAGCCATGGCCCCGGCGTAGATCTCAGCCTCACAACTGGAGCCGAGAACCGAAGACGAGCGAGTAGACCGCCACGAGACAGAGCCGGAACCAAGGCTGAAGGTGTAACCCTGTGACGACCGCTGCGTAGCCTGGTCGTCAGCCCAAGAAGCGTCCGCGTGGCCGGTAAGGACCACTGGACTCCGCCCTCCAAGCACAAGCCCCATGCCCGACGTACTGCACAGGTAGCCCAATACCCTCTTCGTTGCAGCCATGTGCTCTGGTCTGTGTCTCCCAGGAGCAACATAGCGTGCAAGAATGCTCAGAGGGTATGCAAGGTCAGGTCGTGTGCAGGTCATCAGGTACATGAGGCAGCCAACAAGCTCTGCATACGGACCACTCGACTCTACGGACTCATCCGAAGGCAGAGCTGAGAGTGAGTGGCGAGTAGGCAGAGGAGTGGCCTGAGGCGAGGAGTACGTGAAGCCGAAGCGCTGAAGGACCTGCTGCACCATGTGTGACTGAGTCAAGGTAATGGTGCGGCGTGCTCTGTCCCGAGTGATCTGCAAGCCAAGGTAGCTGCGCAGTTCACCCAGGTCTGTGCACGTGTGTCTCTTCAGCAGTTCGGACTTCACGTAGGCGAGTCCAGCAGTGTCCGCTGTGGCAAAGACCAAGTCGTCGACGTACACGAGGATGTAGAACGGCGGCAGTGAAGTGTCGGTGCGCAGAAACAGCGACGGGTCAGCAGTAGAAGGAGCAAACCCAAGTGCCGCCAGCGTAGTCCTTAGTGTGTCGTGCCACTCACGCGGTGCCTGGCGGAGACCGTAGACTGGCCGTCGGAGGCTCCACTGGGTGCCAGGAGGGAAAGTCCCAGTGAAGCTAGGTGGACGGCGCAGCCAGATCTCCTCGTGCAGGCTACCCTGCAGGAACGCAGTGCTGAAGTCGAGAGAGTGAAGCTCGTAGTCGCGCTGAGCGGCTATGTGCAGCAGCACCCGAAGAGTGGTCATCTTCGGGGTGGGAGAGAAGGTCTGAAAGTAGTCAACTCCCTGCCGCTGACTGAAGCCACGAGCAACGTACCGCGCCTTGAAGACAGGTGGAGAGCCCGGCGGCCGCTTCACCCGGAAGATCCACATGCCACTGACGATGTTCGCCCCAGGAGGGGGAACTGCGTCAACGTAGGTGCCTGTGGACTTCCAGGAAGCCATCTCTGCATCCATAGCTGCCTGCCACTGAGAGGAGTAGGGACCCTCTACGGCCTCCGCGTAAGAACGCGGAGTCGGGATGTCTAGTGCATCCGGGTCTCCCTCAGGGGCAAGCAGTACAGACGCGAGATGAGGTGAAGCAGCCGCTAGACACTGTAACTCCTCCTGTCTGTCCTCTAGGACGTCCGTGCCAAGAGCACACTCACCCCCGACGGACGGAGGACAGACAGACGCAGACTCAGCAACAAGACCAGCAGCGTAGTCGAGACGACAGCGAGCAGCAAAGTCAACGAGCTCAGCGACTAGAGCAGACGCAGCAGTGGACTCAAAAGAGGGGTCAGTGACGACAGTAGCAAGCAGACGCGTGACAGTAGGACTGGCAGCGCGAAGAGAGTCCGACTCAGGGTCGGCAAGCGCAGGAAGAGAGGACTCAGGAGGAGAAGGCAAAGGGGCACGCAGAGGAGCAGTGGACGGACGCAGAGACATCCGGTGCGTGCCAGGGACAGGAGGAGGACGCTGACGCGAACCGCGACCACTAGCGCGAGTAGCACGAACAGGCGACGCGGGACGAGACGCAGGCTCACGACGCTCAGCAAGACCTCCAGTAGGACCAGTGTAAGGAGAGGGAGCAGGCAGAGGAGAGGAAGGCTCCAACAGTGACTGCGACTGGACAGGCTGTGGACACTCTACCGAAGGAGAAAGACCAAGAACCTGCTGTAGGAGCGGAACGAAGTACGGCCGAGGCCGCGTGGCAGCTCCAGACTCAGCAGGGACAGCACCAGCACCCTCAGCGACAGCACCAGCGCCACCAACACCTCCAGCGGCAGGACCTCCAGCAGCACCAGCAGCAGAACCACCGCCAGGACAGACAGCAGTAGTCTCAGCACCAACACCCTCAGCAGCTCCAGCTCCAGTAGGACCCGTAGGCCCAGCAGCTCCGGGACCGGCAGCACCAGCACCCTCGACGGTCGATGAAGCTCCAGCTCCAGCAGCACTCCTCCAGCGGCGAGCAAACCACTCACGCAGCTCCTGGGGAGAGAGGGGCTCCCGGCGAGACGCAGCAGCAGGAGAAACCCCAGGCTCAGCAGCTCCAGACTCAGCACCCCCAGGCACAGCCGCTCCAGACTCAGCACCTCCAGGCTCAGCAGCTCGAGACTCAGCACCCCCAGACTCAGTAGCTCCAGCTCCAGTAGGACCCGCAGGCCCAGCAGCTCCGGGACCGGCAGCACCCTCAGCAGGCGAAGAAGCTCCAGCTCCAGCAGCACGCCTCCAGCGGCGAGCAAACCACTCGCGCAGCTCCTGTGGAGAGAGCGGCTCCTGCCGAGACGGAAGAACCGGAGAGCCTCCAGGTCCAGCAGGCGCAGGCTCTGCACCTCCAGGCCCAGCACCCCCAGGCTCAGCAGCTCCTGACGTAGCACCCTCCGGCTCAGCACCCCCCGGCTCAGCACCCCCAGACTCAGCACCCCCCGGCCTCGCACCCCCAGGCTCAGCACCCCCAGGCTCAGCACCCCCAGCAGCAGCACCCCCAGGCTCAGCACCCACAGCAGGACCAGACTCAGCAGCAACCTCGACTGGCTCGACCGTGTCTACCTGGGACACACCTGAAGGGGCAGGAACCTGAGGGGGGAGGGGGTCTACCGGGGGGGGAACTGGTACCAGGAAGTCCGGTGGGGGGGGAAGGGAAGGAGTACGGTAGGGGAAGAGGCGGTAGAAGGGGACTGACTCGTCGAACGTGACGTCCTGGGAGGACAGAACACGACGAGAGGAGGGGTGGTAGAACTGCCACCCTGGAGCGTCAGGGGGGAAGCCAAGGAAGACACAGGGAGCAGCACGGGGGGACAGCTTGTCCGCAGACAAGTCGCGGACAAACGCCCGAGATCCCCAGACACGGAACGCAGACGCATCGCCAACCTTCCCCGTCCACAGTAACACTGGGGACATCGCGGGCCGAGAGACCCTGGGGTGAAGGTTGAGCTGATGCGCCGCGTACCTCACCGCAAACGGCCACAGAAAATGGGGGGCAGCCGCATGCATCATGGACGTACGAGCGACATCCATGACCATGCCAATGCGGCGCTCAGCAATCCCATTTTGCTGTGGAGAGTCCGGAAGCGTAAAGGTCTGGCGGATCCCCTGTGCACGACAGTAGTCTCGCAGAAGGCGAGAGGAGAACTCCCCACCTCGGTCAGAGTGCAGACGCAGAACAGGAAAGTCCGAGCCGAAGCTCCTCCTGAGCTGGAGACGAACCTCGCGGATCCAGTCGATCAGCACCTCAGTGACAGCACCCTTGCTGCGCAAGGGGAAGACTGAGGTGTAACGCGAGTAGTCGTCAACCACCAACAGGAAGTAGCGCTCGTGACCCTGCCCACGGACGGGGGCCGGGCCCCACACGTCCATGTGAAGCGTCTGCAGAGGAGCCTCTGTCGAGGGAAACTGGGAGGAGTGAGGAGCAGCCCTGAGGCGCCCCTCGACACAGGGGACACAGGAAGGTCCTGGTCCCGAAGGAAGGGGAGGGAGAGACTGGGGAAGACCAGAGACAAGGACACGGGAAGCCATGCCCCGAAGACGGGGCAAGGAGGGGTGGCCTAGACGGTGGTGCCACAGAAGAGTCTCGTGAGACAGGAGGCGACACGAACAGGGGGCAGACTCAGGACCAGACCTGGACGCAGCAGCAAACACCTGACCCGACGCTGCTACCTGACCGGACGCGGGGACAGGAGGAGACTCAGTGGTCAGGGTGTAGAGGCTCGACCCCGGCCGACGCGAGAACGTGGCCAGGTGCCGGCCTGTGCGTGCGTCCGTGCAGTGGGTCACCCGCTGACTCGCAGGAGTGAACTGGTGAACCCCCGCATCCTGTAGGTCTGCACCACTCACCAAGTTCGTCGAGAACGAGGGGAGGTACAGGCCAGACAGGGTGCCCGAGGGGGCAGCCGGACACGGGAGGACAGTGGAGAAGTGAGCGAGGACAGGACCCCCAGAGGGGTCAGCCAGGGAGACTGCAACCGGCCGACCAAGCGGCGTGAGTGTGGTGCGGTCCCGAAAGAAGGAGCGAGAAGCCCCAGAGTCAAGTGTAAAGGTGAGGGAGGCCGAAGCCAACGCGGTACCTGAGAGCGCAGCCTCACCCGCACCTGAGGAAGCAGACTCACTAGCACCTAGAGCAGCAGCCGCACCTGTACCTGGAGCAGGAGACTAACTAGTACCCAGAGCAGCAGCCTCACCAGTAGCTAGAGCAGCAGGTCCTATACCTGGGTCAGGCGGCACGCACAGGTGACCGGCACGGTCAGCACTAGTAGGCAATGCATACATGGCAGTGAGAATAGCATCATAGTCAAGAGCATATATATCTACCCTCTGCCTAAGCAACTCCACCCAGTCGGGAAGCTCAGCCTCGTCGCCAAACACGGTACGCCAGGCGTCGCTCAGACGGGCGAAGCAGCTGGACGGTGTATGACTACGTGTCCCACAAGGCTGACCAGTCCGAGTACCAGTGCGAATCACGTAAGAGCAGCGAACAGCACTGAGAGACCCTCCACTCTGAGCGTACCACTCACGAAGCTGGCGAGGCGTGAGAGACACGCGAGAGGGTCGCGGGAGCTGCATCTGGCCGCCACCACGAGTAGAAGCAGCAGGAGTGGAAGTAGGAGTAGCGTCGCCACCCCTACAGCCCCAACCAGCGTACCACTCACGCAGCTGCTGGGGCGTGAGGGACTCACGCCGGCGTCGCTGGGGCTGCATTTGGCTCCGCAAGTAGAAGCAGGAGCAGGACTAGCAGCAGGGAGGCAGGCAGCCAGGCAAGCCAAAAGGCAGGCAGGCAGGCAAGCAGGCGACGCGCAGCGTGCTAGCAGGGCAAGAGCTCACCAGTGGTGGGAAGAGTAGGCTCGGCGACTCAGCGGCTCGGCAGCTCGGCGGCTCGGCGGCTCGGGCGACTCGGGCGGCTCGGCGGCAAGGCGGCTCGGCAGCAACTGCAGCTCAGCAGCTCGGTGACTCGGCGGCTCGGCGGCAGGGCGGCTCGGCAGCAACTGCAGCTCAGCAGCTCAGCGACCCGGCGGCTCGGCGGCAGGGCGGCTCGGCTGCTGGGCGGCTCGGGTGCAGGGCGGCTCGGCGGTGGGGCGGCTCGGCTGCTGCAGGTGAGCGGCTTGGCTGCTGCAGTGGGAGATGAAGGAGGAGGAGAAGCAGGGGAGGCCACACACCTGCCACCCCTCTGCTGGCCTCTCCCGTCGCCTGTCGAGGCGACCTCAGGGGGCCGCTTGCGGCCCCCGAAGGAGCCGCGACGGGCGACGGGAAAAGGGGGGGGGTGGGTGGTGGGGGGGGCCGGTAGGTGCAGCGGCGGGGCCAGCAGGTGCAGTTGCGGGGCCGGTAGAAGGGGACGGCAGGAGCCGTCAGGAGGGGACGGCGGGGCCGTCACGAAGGGACGGCGGGGCCGTCAGGAGGTGACCGGGCCGCGACGGGGGCAGGCGGCGGGGCCGCGTAAGGGCCTGGGCGGGGCCGCGACAGAGCCGTCGGCGGGGCCGCGTGAAAGCCGGGGCGGGGCCGCGTAGAAGCCGGGGCGGGGCCGCGCGAGAGCAGGCGGCGGGGCCGCGAAGGAGCCGGGGCGGGGCCGCGTGAGAGCAGGCGGCGGAGCCGCGTAAGGGCCTGGGCGGGGCCGCGACAAAGCCGTCGGCGGGGCCGCGTGAAAGCCGGGGCGGGGCCGCGTAGAAGCCGGGGCGGGGCCGCGCGAGAGCAGGCGGCGGGGCCGCGAAGGAGCCGGGGCGGGGCCGCGTGAGAGCAGGCGGCGGAGTCGCGTAAGGGCCTGGGCGGGGCCGCGACAAAGCCGTCGGCGGGGCCGCGTGAAAGCCGGGGCGGGGCCGCGTAGAAGCCGGGGCGGGGCCGCGCGAGAGCAGGCGGCGGGGCCGCGAAGGAGCCGGGGCGGGGCCGCGTGAGAGCAGGCGGCGGGGCCGCGACAGAGAGGGCGGCGGGGCCGCGTCAGTGAAGGCGGCGGGGCCGCAGGGGAAATGGCGACCCGAGGGGTCGCTAAAAAAAGATCGCGCCTCGGGGGGCGCTTCGGTGGGCCCAAGAAAAAACGGTCCGTAGAAGGACCCGCTCTATACCATGTGAGAATAAGCGAACAAGAATGAATGAGCTAGCAGTGAAATGAGTACAAGTAGGAAACCCTAGAATTGTGTACCCCCTATAGGCTAACCCACTGTAGCCTACACAAGCAGAACATATCTAATGTTTGACAACCCGAGCCTTGTCCTCTCGCTCAGCGGCGAGTTTCTCCCTCAGTTCAGCGTTCTCCATCGCGAACTGCATTTCACGTCCTCTCAAAATCCCAAGCTCCTCCCTGAGCATATTGGCGGTGAGGTGCATCTTATGCAGCTTCTCTTCTGCGGTCGTGCGAAAGATAGCGTCCTGCAGAAACCAGCACGGCAGAACTCAGCATGAACGAATAACTCCTCTCTACCACAAATAGCAGGCACTTACTGCTTTGGCGATGGTTTGGCCGGTTGCCCGAAGCTTCTCGCCCTAGAAGTGAGAGATAGCGACCGGGTACGCCCACTTTTGGAACAGCGGGTGGTTGCACAAGGGGCTCATCTGCACATATGGATGCCTCTCGCAATTGCACCGCGGGTTTCTCACGCCGTGCTGATGGCAGAACGCCCACATCATAGCCAGATCCTGTGCAACAACGAGGCGTCCGATGCTGGCGAGGGTGTCTAGGAACCTCGCCCCCGCATAGTGCCTCTTCAGCGGATCGGTCTGCGCAGCGTTCCATTCTTCGACCTGACGGGACGAGTATGCAGGAGAAATGGGACGGTTCATCATTGCGTATCAAAATTAAGCTACGAACGCGAAGACTGTACACTAGCACGTACCTTCTTCCAACCCTCTTCGACCCAGGGGAAAATGTGAAGCCTCAAGAGATCCAAGAGCTGCAACCACTCATCCTTCTCCTTAACCTTATGCCGCGGAAGCTTGGCGCGGGCTCTGCCGATGTAGTAGTCTCCACGATCCCCGCTGAATCCTGCCAGCAGCCAAACCGGCTTGAACGGTATGCCGAACACATAACACCTCCGCAACTCCCCCTGCGCCCATCCGCCCAGAGTGCCGATATCGTTGTCGGAGCAACCGTCGTCATGGAGTTGTTGCGCTCCGGATCTGCGGAATGCATGTGTTACCTTGCTCAGAATCCATCTCGCCTTCGTCATGGCCCACTTAATCCAGGTGTTATGCGTTTTGTAGTGCATCTCGTCTTGCTTCTGCTTTCCCTGGTCGCCCTTCTTCAAAGAAAAGAAGAGGTGCGCTTTCGTCCACAAGATCGGTTCAGAAAAGTCGAGAGGCTCGACGATACCGGGGCCGTAGCGCAGAGGAACGAGGTCGTAGATGAAATAAAGCCAGAGGAACACATGGCCCATTCCGCAGAGCCGCCAGTCCCTATGCCTTGCAAGAAACTGATGATTCAGCTTGTTGTTGGGGTTGGTCTTCGACTTCCTGGAAACAACGACGAGTACGAAAACGTCCAGATAGTCGTCGAGGTGTGATGTACTCCGCGTCATGCGGACAAAGAGGTTCCCAAGTCGAATCTTTCGAATGCTGCACCCTCTTCCGAGAAATTGGTGTCCGAGGTGCATCATAACCGGGACTTGCAGAGCCTTCCAGAGAGGAAGCGAGATTTGTGACAGAGGCGTCCGCCACCAGATCTCTAGGAGCTCTTTTCGCAGAACAGTAAGATGCAGCGTCCTATACTGGCTTCCCGTATAGCAATCACCAATTGATCCACGGGTTTGATCTCGACCATCCCTGCATAGAATAGCACAGTAATTAGGTAAACCATGTAGAACAACATTCACACAAACAGAAAGCACCCGTATACGTTACTCACGCGACTTGCTCGTCGTTCAGATCCTTCAGCTTCACTTTGAAAAAATCCCGAGCATCCTTGATCCAGTCCTTGGTCAGTGTGATGGAGAAGCCGTAGAGCCTCGCCTCGCACCTGGCAAGGCATCCCATTGCGTTCATCTTTGCCTTGATCATTGAAGCCGTGCACCCCTTTGCCTCCTTCCCCACATATTTCTCGACGTCTGGCCGCATTTTTCCACGCAAAAACTTTGCCTGCTCGTCAGTTTCGCAGAAGAGATACTCGATGTATCGGCCGAGCCTCCATTCCGTGATTCGCGGCCCGTGCAGATGAATCTGCCACTCGTCAGAGCTGCACGACCACCCATCGTTTCCCAAGTTATTGCTCATATGAAACCCAACCTCGTCATGCAGAGAGGGAGCAAGGCTATCTGCCACAGGGACATCTACCATAGTTGCCATGAAGATGATCACCCACCACTTGAAGTGTAGAAAGTGGAAACAATAGTGCCTTCTCGTCCCGGCCTCTATCAGTCGAAGCGGGATTGTTGAACGCCGGATCCTGCTCTCCTTTTCCGCAACGTCGGTCTGCCGCTGCGCATTTCCGGGGGCCACAGCCTGCTCGACATGGCTCGCAGAATCGGGAGGCCGTCGTCGTCCCGGCGATGATTCTCCCTCCTCTTCTGCGTCAGAGTGATCTCCATCCTCCTCGTACCGTTCTTCGGGTGCACCGGGTCGTGGGCGCACTCCATCGCCTCCCGGCCCTTCACTCTCTTCTTCACTCCCCTGGACTTGAATCCGGACGGATGGTTCGTAGATACCACCCTGAAACAAATCCTCCTCGGTCGCCTCAAACTCGCTATCGTTCTCGCGATCCTGTGCGTAGTCTGGGTCAGTATTTTCAACGTCCTCTAGGTCTATTTCTCCATCCTCTGCGCCCTGAACTGCCATGGGGCGAGAGTGGACCGAGCTGTCGGCCATTCACAGATTCCTAATTTATTAGCTAGCAACCGAGACTAGACGAAAGAATCGGATGGTGACAGCCGCGGTAGGTGGTAACGATTCGCAAGTGTGCAGATAACATAGGCAGAATGCTTAGTGGGCTAAGCGCAGAAGGCGTAAGAGAGTCTGTGCTTCACACGTCTACACATTGGTCTTCGAACATCGCCTACAACTTGCGTTTACATATATATTGTGAAACAAGGAAAACAGGAATGAAATGACTATGGAAGATTGGGTACAAATACAACCCTAGAAACCCTGTACCCCATATGTGCTACCCCACTATAGCCTACAGAAACTATGTCATATAAATCTGACACACCCCCATAGGCAAAGTGGGGGAGAACAAGGGGTCACAAGACCAGTCAAGTAAAGCAAAGCAGAGCAAGCTCAGGGTGGATCACAACGTCACCACACAGTCCGAGCACAAGAGCAGGGCCAGAGGCCAGTTCACATGCAGGAGTACAGACATATATATATAGAACTAGACAAGCAAGAGCAGGTATAAATATATGTAACAGTACAAGTGAAGTCAAGAGGAGAGCAAGTGAGGCAAGACAGGCACAAGACCCAGCTGGGTGCAAAAGCGCTGATGGTCACAAGGCGCGAGTGCCTTGGTGAACACATCAGCAGTGTTGGCCTCAGAGGCCACGTACGCAAGTCGCAACTGACCACGCTGCTGCAGCTCACGAGCAAGGAAGTAGCGGAGAGCAATGTGCTTCGTTCTGTGCTCCAAGCGCTGCTCTCGACACAAGGCCAGCATGGCCTTGTTGTCTACGTACAGCACTGGAGGAGAACGAGGCGGCTCTCCAAGGTCAGTCAGCAGGTAGGTGAGCCAGCGAAGCTCCTGTGCAGCCATGGCCCCGGCGTAGATCTCAGCCTCACAACTGGAGCCGAGAACTGAAGACGAGCGAGTAGACCGCCACGAGACAGAGCCGGAACCAAGGCTGAAGGTGTAACCCTGTGATGACCGCTGCGTAGCCTGGTCGTCAGCCCAAGAAGCGTCCGCGTGGCCGGTAAGGACCACTGGACTCCGCCCTCCAAGCACTAGCCCCATGCCCGACGTGCTGCACAGGTAGCGCAATACCCTCTTCGCTGCAGCCATGTGCTCTGGTCTGTGTCTCCCAGGAGCAACATAGCGAGCAAGAATGCTCAGAGGGTATGCAAGGTCAGGTCGTGTGCAGGTCATCAGGTACATGAGGCAGCCAACAAGCTCTGCATACGGGCCACTCGACTCTACGGACTCATCCGAAGGCAGAGCTGAGAGTGAGTGGCGAGTAGGCAGAGGAGTGGCCTGAGGCGAGGAGTACGTGAAGCCGAAGCGCTGAAGGACCTGCTGCACCATGTGTGACTGAGTCAAGGTAATGGTGCGGCGTGCTCTGTCCCGAGTGATCTGCAAGCCAAGGTAGCTGCGCAGTTCACCCAGGTCTGTGCACGTGTGTCTCTTCAGCAGCTCGGACTTCACGTAGGCGAGTCCAGCAGTGTCCGCTGTGGCAAAGACCAAGTCGTCGACGTACACGAGGATGTAGAACGGCGGCAGGGAAGTGTCGGTGCGAAGAAACAGCGACGGGTCAGCAGTAGAAGGAGCAAACCCAAGAGCCGCAAGCGTAGTCCTCAGTGTGTCGTGCCACTCACGCGGTGCCTGACGGAGACCGTAGACTGGCCGTCGGAGGCTCCACTGGGTGCCAGGAGGGAAAATCCCAGTGAAGCCAGGTGGACGGCGAAGCCAGATCTCCTCGTGCAGGCTACCGTGCAAGAACGCAGTGCTGAAGTCGAGAGAGTGAAGCTCGTAGTCGCGCTGAGCGGCTATGTGCAGCAGCACCCGAAGAGTAGTCATCTTCGGGGTGGGAGAGAAGGTCTGAAAGTAGTCAACTCCCTGCCGCTGACTGAAGCCACGAGCAACGTAGCGTGCCTTGAAGACAGGTGGAGAGCCCGGCGGCCGCTTCACCTTGAAGATCCACATGCCAGTGACGATGTTCGCCCCAGGAGGGGGAACCGCGTCAACGTAGGTGCCTGTGGACTTCCAGGAAGCCATCTCTGCATCCATAGCTGCCTGCCACTGAGAGGAGTAGGGACCCTCTACGGCCTCCGCGTAAGAACGCGGAGTCGGGATGTCTAGTGCATCCGGGTCTCCCTCAGGGGCAAGCAGTACAGACGCGAGATGAGGTGAAGCAGCAGCTAGACACTGTAACTCCTCCTGCCTGTCCTCTAGGACGTCCGTGCCAAGAGCACACTCACCCCCGACGGACGGAGGACAGACAGACGCAGACTCAGCAACCAGACTAGCAGCGTAGTCAAGACGACAGCGAGCAGCAAAGTCGACGAGCTCAGCGACTAGAGCAGACGCAGCAGTGGACTCAAAAGAGGGGTCAGTGACGACAGTAGCAAGTAGACGCGTGACAGTAGGACTGGCAGCACGAAGAGAGTCCGACTCAGGGTCGGCAAGCGCAGGAAGAGAGGACTCAGGAGGAGAAGGCAAAGGGGCACGCAGAGGAGCAGTGGACGGACGCAAAGACATCCGGTGCGTGCCAGGGACAGGAGGAGGACGCTGACGCGAACTGCGACCACTAGCGCGAGCAGCACGAACAGGCGACGCGGGACGAGACGCAGGCTCACGACGCTCAGCAAGACCTCCAGTAGGACCAGTGTAAGGAGAGGGAGCAGGCAGTGGAGAGGAAGGCTCCAGCAGGGACTGCGACTGGACAGGCGGTGGACACTCTACTGGAGGAGAAAGACCAAGAACCTGCTGCAGGAGCGGAACGAAGTACGGCCGAGGCCGCGCGGCAGCTCCAGACTCAGCAGGGACAGCACCAGCACCCTCAGCGACAGCACCAGCGCCACCCACACCTCCAGCGGCAGGACCAACAGCAGTAGGCTCAGCACCAACGCCCTCAGCAGCTCCAGCTCCAGGAGGACCCGCAGGTCCAGCAGCTCCGGGACCGGCAGCACCCGCACCCTCGACGGTCGAAGAAGCTCCAGCCCCAGCTCCAGCAGCACCTCCAGACTCAGCAGCACGCCTCCAGCGGCGAGCGAACCACTCGCGCAGCTCCTGTGGAGAGAGGGGCTCCCGGCGAGACGCAGCAGCAGGAGAAACCCCAGGCTCAGCAGCTCCAGACGCAGCACCCCCAGGCTCAGCAGCTCCCAGCTCAGCACCCCCAGGCTCAGCAGCTCCCGACCCAGCACCTCCAGACCCAGCACCTCCAGGCACAGCACCCCCCGGCTCAGCACCCCCAGGCTCCGCACCCACCGCAGTAGCACCCTCAGGCCCAGCACCCCCGCGCACAGCACCCCCAGAGTCAGCACCCCCAGGCTCAGCACCCGCAGCAGCACCAGAGTCACCAGTAACCTCGACCGGGTCAACGGCGTCTACCTGGGACACACCTAAAGGGGCAGGAACCTGAGGGGGGAGGGGGTCTACCGGGGGGGGAACCGGTACAAGGAAGTCCGGGGGAGGAGGGAGGGAAGGAGTGCGGTAGGGGAAGAGACGGTAGAAGGGGACTGACTCGTCGAACGTGACGTCCTGGGAGGACAGAACACGACGAGAGGAGGGGTGGTAAAACTGCCACCCTGGGGCGTCAGTGGGGAAGCCAAGGAAGACACAGGGAGCAGCACGAGGGGACAGCTTGTCCGCAGACAAGTCGCGGACAAACGCCCGAGATCCCCAGACACGGAACACAGACGCATCGCCAACCTTCCCCGTCCACAGCAAGGCTGGGGACATCGCAGGCCGAGAGACCCGGGGGTGAAGGTTGAGCTGATGCGCCGCGTACCTCACCGCAAACGGCCACAGAAAATGGGGGGCAGCCGCATGCATCATGGACGTACGAGCGACATCCATGACCATGCCAATGCGGCGCTCAGCAATCCCATTTTGCTGTGGTGAGTCCGGAAGCGTGAAGGTCTGGCGGATCCCCCGTGCGCGACAGTAGTCTCGCAGAAGGCGAGAAGAGAACTCTCCGCCTCTGTCAGAGTGCAGACGCAGAACAGGAAAGTCCGAGCCGAAGCTCTTCCTGAGCTGGAGACGAGCCTCGCGGATCCAGTCGATCAGCACCTCAGTGACCTCACCCTTGCTGCGCAAGGGGAGGACTGTGGTGTAACGCGAGTAGTCGTCAACCACCAACAGGAAGTAGCGCTCGTAACCCTGCCCACGGACGGGGGCTGGGCCCCACACATCCATGTGAAGCGTCTGCAGGGGAGCCTCTGTCGGGGGGAAGTGGGAGGAGTGAGGAGTAGCCCGGAGGCGACCCTCGACACAGGGGACACAGGAAGGTCCTGGCCCGGAGGGGAGAGGAGGGAGAGACTGGGGAAGACCAGAGACAAGGACACGGGAAGCCATGCTCCGAAGACGGGGCAAGGAGGGGTGGCCAAGACGGTGGTGCCACAGGAGAGTCTCGTGAGACAGGAGGCGACAAGAACAGGGGGCAGACTCAGGACCTGACCGGGACGCAGCAGCAAGTACCTGACCCGACGCAGCCACCTGACCAGACGCAGGGACAGGAGGAGACTCAACGGTCAGGGTGTAGAGACTTGACCCCGGCCGACGCGAGAACGTGGCCAGGTGTCGGCCTGTGCGTGCGTCCGTGCAGTGGGTCACCCGCTGACTCGCAGGAGTGAACTGGTGAACACCCCCATCCTGCAGGTCCGCTCCACTCACCAAGTTCGTAGAGAACGAGGGAAGGTACAGACCCGACAGGGTGCCCGAAGGGGCAGCCGGACACGGGAGGACAGTGGAGAAGTGAGACAGGACAGGACCTCCAGAGGGGTCAGCAAGGGAGACTGCAACCGGCCGGCCGAGTGGCGTAAGGGTAGTGCGGTCTCGAAAGAAGGAGCGAGAAGCTCCGGAGTCAAGTGTGAAAGTGAGGGAGGACGAGGACGACGCAGTACCTGAGAGCGCAGTCTCACCAGTACCTGAGAGCGCAGACGCACTGGCACCTAGAGCAGCAGCCTCACAAGCACCTAGCGCAGCAGTACCAATGCCC